AAGGGAATGGCTCAGTTGCCTTTAGCCTACTGGCTATGGGTGGGATAGGACCTCTGTTGGTCTTTTCTGTGTTGAACACACAGATTGCAAGCCCAGTACCACTTTCAGTGGCCCTTATGCTTGGCAGCAATTAACCATGCAGCTCACACACGATTGAGCCGGGATGATAATGAGTATTCAGAGACGGGTAATGCCTGGGGGGCGCTCACCAACCTAGGACAGAGCGCCTGTGTGGCCTGGGCAGACATCTCCATGACGGGTAAGGTGACCTGCTGATGTCCCATGCAACCTAAGTCAGAAGCTCATTTTTTAGTAAAAGGGGGACCTGCAGGGCCCTGGCCCCTGTTTTGGGTAACTGTTACCTTGCTTGCTGACCTTGACCTTGATATCCTCCCTATGCTAATTCCCTGCCGGGTTCCACCCTCCTGAATGCTTAAGAGAAGTTCCTTGTCTGTGTGTCCTGCATAATGGGTGTTAACAGCTTAAATGCAAGATTGTAAAACATCAGTAGCTAACTTCTGCCCTCCGGGGTTCTCCCATTGTGCTGTAAGCCTGTATTTAAGACCTCTTCCCTCCTTCAATAAACATCATTTGGCATTAAAAAAATATAAGAACAACCTTTAAAAAACGAGTGTAATAAAAACTGAGGGTGATAAGGAAAAAAAAGAATAAATGAAAAAATATCCTATAAGCCAGTCAGCATTCTAGCTTGGAGAGAAGAGGAGCTCACTAGTCCATAACCTTAGCTGAGGAGCCATTAGCAGTTGGTGGATTCTGGGAGGGAGAGTCAGTGTTCCTTAGGAGTGTGGCCCCCGTAAGCTGACTGTGCCCCAGTGGGTGGCCTTCACCCATGAGTATATGGACAACATAAATTGGATTTGATAGGATATATTTGCGAGGGAAGGCATTGTGAGGGGTAGAGGGTTGGGAGGGAGTCTGGGAGGAGTTGGAGATATGGTCAAAATAAATTGTATTTATGTGTGAAATTTTCAAAGAATTAATAAAAATATTAATATAATAACTTTTATATAAAATTCTAATGAAAAACTTTCTTCTGCATAAAAAAAAGAAAATGTGGCACATATACACAATGGAGTATTACTCAGCAGTAAAAAACAGTCACAGCATGGAATTTGCAGGCAAATGGGTGGAACTAGAAAATATCACCTGAGTGAGGTAACCCAGACCCAGAAAGACAAACACGGCATGTGTTTGCTATATGTGGACATTTGCTGTTAAGCCGATGATAATCAAGCTACAATCCATAGAACCACAGAGGTTACGGACAGAGTAGGGGACTTTTAGGGGTGGGGGGATGGACAGACAGCTCTCCCTGGGAAAGGGAAGTAGAATAGGTAGTTATGGATGGATGGGGTGGAGCGGGAATGGAAGGATCAAGAGGGGAGGAGGTAGGGAGGAGGGGACATGGGAAGGAATATGGGAGAGACGCTAAAACCACAGGGCACAGGTAGCATGGAAACCTAACACAGTAGACACTTCCTAAAATACATACATAAAATACATGAAATAAAATGACCCAGGAATGGGGGACAGAGCCCTGACTGACCTTGTCACCATCCCTTGTCACCAGGTGAAACTTCCGGTGCTGGCATTGGGTTACGTCTAACTGAGTTTTTGGCTAAAGGGGTTCCATGGAAATCCCCGAACAACCCAGGCTGTTGTTAAGATGAGAGGTTCCTCTCCACAAACTGTCGGCCAGGCCCCATGGCTGAAGACAACACCCACACCACTCACTGAATGTGGGGATGCTGAGCTGGGGCCTCCATAGATCCTCCACCACGCATGGTGGGGCCTTTGGTACAGGCCGGAACTCTGCACACCACCCAGGGAGAAACATAAACACCAAGCCAACCACAAACCCTTTGGTCAACAGTGGTGTCCTGCATCCAAGACATGCTAGGGCAATGGTGGCACAAAGCTTATGGGAGTCACCAACCAACATCTGATGTGACTTGAGGCCCACTCCATAGGACGGAATCCATACCCAACACGGCTTGAGTGACCAAGAACTAGAGACTAGGTAGCCCAGGAACCTAGAGTTAAGCCAAATAACACTGGCCTTTAAAGGAAACATAGCAATAAAATGAGTCCTAATGACATTCTGCTGTACTCTTAGATCAGTGTCTTGTTCAGTCATCATCAGAGAATCTTCCCCCTGCAGCAAGTGGAAACAAATACAGAGACCCACAGCCAGACACTACACAGAGAGTGAGAGACCTTGGGACACTCAGCCCTAAATGGGTTGTCTCCTCAATTCCCTCCCCTCAGGGCTCAGGGAACCCTGAAGAAGACGAGACAGGAGTGTAAGAGCCAGAGGAGATGGAGGACCCCAGGAGAACAAGACCCTCTAAATCGACATGAGCAAAGTTCATATGAGCGCAGAGACTGAAGCAGAATGGGCTGGGCCCAAGTGGGTCTGCACCAGGTCCTCTGTACATACTTACATTATGACTTCAGTGTTTTTATGGGATTCTTGAGTGTGTGAACAAGCGTGCTAATGAGTGGGTTCTGATTCTTGTGCCTTTTCTTGGGCTCTTTTCCTTCTGTTTGTTTTGTTTAACAGTTTTCTTTTCTTTCTTTCTTTTTTTCTTTCTGAGACAGGATTTCTCTGTGCAGCCCTGGCTGTCCTGGAACTTGTTCTGTAGACCCGGCAGGCATTGAACTGAAAGATCCACCTGCCTCTGCCTCCCGAGTGCTGGGATTAAAGGTGGCCGCCGCCGCCGCCACCACCACCACCACCACCCAGCAGTATATGGTCGTTTTTATTTTATTATATTTCATTATTATCCCTTAGAAGTCTGTTTGTTTTCTAATGAGAAACAGAAAGGGAGTGGACCAGATTAGAGGGGATGTGAGCAGGAACCGAAGGCGTAGGGGGAGGGGACCGTAATCAGGATATATTGAGTAAGAAAGAAAAAAATCTATTTTTAATAAAAGGGAAAAAGTAGGAAATTCTTCAAAATAACATGACCTCTCCTTGTCACACTGAAGACACGTGACAGTTCTCTAATGTCATCTACTCTCCAGTCTGCATCTGTTCCCGTCCTCATCAATAGGACAAACACTTGATAAAGGCCACATCCAATGGAAGGCTTTACCTCGGCTCACAGTCCCAGAATGCAGCCCCTCGTGGTGGGGACATCACGGTGGCAGGAGCCTGAAGCCGCCGGTCACTCTGTGTCCACAGTCAGGAAACGCGGATGAACGCCTGGGTTCTCTTAGTTGTCTCTTTCCTATTCAGCCCAGGACTTCAGCCCATGAATGGTGGTGGCCACGTTTAAGGTGGGTCTTCCCATGTCAACCCAGAGACTCCCATACAGATGTGACCAGATGTTTGTTTACAGGGTGATTTTAAATCCCATGAGATTAACGATTAAGATCGACTATCATGCCGGGCGGTGGTGGCGCATGCCTTTAATCCCAGCACTCGGGAGGCAGAGCCAGGAGGATCTCTGTGAGTTCAAGGCCAGCCTGGGCTACCAAGTGAGTTCCAGGAAAGGCGCAAAGCTACACAGAGAAACCCTGTCTCGGGGAAGAAAAAAAAAAAAAAAAAAGATCAACTATCACAACAGTCAGTACTCAAGTCCTCTTAGAAAATTGCCTAAAATAATTTCATAGAAGCCAGGCAGTGGTGGTGCACGCCTTTAATCCCAGCACTTGAGAGGCAGAGACAAGCAGATCTCTGTGAGTTTGAGGCCAGCCTGGTCTACAAAGTGAGCCTGGCTTCAGGTTTCGTAGGACTGTGTCATGGGGATAAGACAAAAAGTGGTAAAGGACGCTCACATCTTGCTCTGGCCCATACAAGCACACATATGCTATGTACCTCACAAAAAAAATACAATTTTAATTAAAAAAAAAAAACTTTAAAGAATTCAAAGCTAGCCTGGGGTAGTTAGCAAACCCTTCATCCAAACTAAAAGCAAGAAGAGAGGTGGGGATGCAGTGTAGGGTACCCCTGCTCATCCTGTGTGAGTCCCTAGGTTCTATCCCCAAGAAGCCAAGGAGAGAGAGAGAGAGAGAGAGAGAGAGAGAGAGAGAGAGAGAGAGAGAGAGAGAGAGAGAGAGAGAGAAGAAAGAAAGAGGGTAAGGAGAGGTGGCTCAGTGATTAAGAACACACTGGCTGCTCTTGCACAGGACCTAGGTTCCATTCTCAGCACCTACATGGAGGTTCACAACTATCTGTAATTCCAGTTCCAGGGGAATCCAACACCCTCTTCTGGCCACTGCGGGCACTGCATGCACATGGTACACAGACACCCTTGGGCAAAACACCCAAATACATTTAAAATTTTTTCTTTTTGTTTTTTTGAGACAAGATTTCTCTGTGTAGACCTGGCTGTCCTGGAACTTTCTTTGCAGACCAGGCTGACCTAGAACTCACAGACATCTGCCTACCTCTGCCTCCCAAGTGCTGGGATTAAAGGTGTGCACCACCACCACCTTAAAATTTTTTTTAAGAAAGAAAAAGGGATCACCCTCCAGCTACTTTCCGAGCAGGCTTTAGTAATCACAGGGTAATGTGTCTTTAAAAAAGACATTTGGTTGGGCAGTGGTG